CTAGCACTTTCTCATCCACTTGTTTGATTATGTCGTTAGAATTCCTTGTTTAAAACTGTAAATTTTCAAAAATTTGCCTATTACTGTTTAAAGTTAAATTAAATAAGATAAATTGCAGCTGGTCACTATCTCTGATTTGATGCTTGATGAATCTTCTAAAATTATCGTTTATGCCTTTGGAGATCTCTACTATGGACAGAATTTGTGGATTTATTTAGGGCGTAAGATCGTGCGCACGGAACTGATGTGCGCAAATGAACAATTACTACTTTAAGGCAAACGAGCTTAAAATCCCATTTTTTGCAGGACACCGAGAATCCACGGCTAAGCGAAAGATAAGAGAGTAAAAATAGGTTAACAAAACAGCCAAAGTTTATGATGAGAGAAGAATGCTGGAAATTAAATAGGAACTTACTCTGGCCTTTGTATAGAATATAGATGACTTGATTAATCTGAAGTTTATTTCTGATTTTACCATCTGAATAAACTCATGAGATTGGCAACGATACACCTTAACATGTGTCAGCATTTCTGGATCATACTCCAGTTTATTTATATAAGTAAACTGGGACCACCTCCGCATAATCTTCCATCAAGCATGAAGTAGCCAACCAAATCACGGCATACTTCAGTAAGATCGAAAAATTAAATTTAATTAATTAAATTGAAGATATGAAGACTTTGCTAGTTTGGCTCCCGATATGGTCGCAGTCCCATTTTGATGCATAGAAGTGGGCTGACTCATTTTCGCTACTTGGTCTTGTTGTCAGGTGGATTTAATTGGGCACACCTTGTCCGAAGTCCTCTGCTATCAATCCTTTTTTAAATTAAATTAAAACTCACTTTTCTTGGTTTAATGTATTTTTGAATGTTCTCATTCTGTTTTCTGGCTCTGTCGTATGACATCGTTAACATGGTTCAACATGGATGCATTCGTGTCGCATTACGGTGCACAATCGCTGCAAAGCAATCTTCCTTCTCATACCTTTTACTTGCTTATTTGAACGATATCAAGGGTAGTAAGACGTCAAATCCGACTTATGCTTAATGGCCAGACCGGCTTTGAATTTTGATATGCATTGTTATTTTTAGTTTACATAGCTAGCGTGAAATACATTTTCTCCATTTTGTATATGCCTTATGGATTTAATGAATTGTGAAAATATAAGACGTTTCATTCTCTCATTCCACAAAAATGGACGGCTTCGTAAACACATGCATTTATCAGTAGGATTCTGAAAGGGAAAAGATGTAGAAAAGTGTGTATAGATCATCCCACGATACATTGTCACTAGCGCATAATTCACGATTTATTACGGCATTTTTCATTACTCCATACAAATACAAATATAAAAATTCCTTATTTTTCGTTTATAAGTAGGTTTTCGAGACTACTACACTTCAAATATAAAAATTCCTTAAGTAGATATATTTTATTTTATTCTATTTGTCAATCACAGTGCATATTTCGAGGTGTCTACTCCCGTATTTTACGAGATGTCGTCGGGGCTGAGATCGGTGGGCCTCAAGGACGGCGAAAACACGAGCCGGGTCACACTGTTACAGATTACGAACGGTTCATAGACTTGGTTCAGCGAATGCTTGTTTACGATCCTAAGCATCGCATTCGCCCTGAGGAAGCACTCGCTCATCGCTTCTTCCAACGACGTGATGATGGTCAGTTAATCGCCCTATTTCTCCAGTTCAATCATCTTTTATATTGTGTTTGTCATTTCGACCTTGTTTGCGCAACTTGGTCGGAGCGTCAAGGAGACCTAATAGAACGTAACAACTCCTGTGTCCTCAACCATAGTATTCGTGATTTCCAGCATCGGAACATTGGCTGGGTACATTCCCATACGTTTCACCGGCATCTTCAATAAGAGATGTCATCGTAAGTACAGAGTTACAACTTATCAAAGTGGCAAGTGAAGGCAATCCCCTTGACCAATATTCTGTTCAACCGCTGTTGCATCACTCCTCGCCCATATTTTTCGTCCTACCTTCTAATGCTGCACCTCTTTCTCTCAACCTCACTTCATAGGGCCCATCTACCTATTCACACAATTTTGTGCTCTCATTTCCTTCAATGTAGTTTAAGTATGTGTCGCAATAAGTGGCTTTACCGAAGCGTACTCATCACCACTCGTACTAGGTGCCGTTTGTAGCTTTCCTGACCTTCATTCAGCCCCCCCTTTCTCCTAACCCGCTTGTCAATTTGTCGCTGCTAACCCTCAAAATCACTTGACGATAAAAAGTAAATTGGGTTTCGAAGGACTCTTTAGTGATATATTGTAAAATGATTTTCAATTTCGAAGGAAAGTTTTTGGAAGGAATTCGTAATGTTGTCTTACCCGAAACCGAAGGAGGGTTACCGCTTAGGGATGACTGTTCAATTGTGCAAAGTAGTCTTCGGTTCATCGTCCTGCGACCCCGATGAAACTGTTCTAAACTTTCGTCTGTACTGTGATAGACATCATCAGAGCAAGAATCCATACATCACGAAATATAACAAAAATAAACTATATTCGTAAGTGAGTGGCCGGCTGTAAATCATGGGATGCCTCATTAAGATCGCAAAGTTAGATGTTTGAAAAGTTACCAGGGTTGCAGTTGGCCACTTTTTCTCTTAGTTTAGTTATTTTTGCTCTATTTCGTGAAATTTGGAATCCTGTCCCGATGATGATTGTCACAGTACAAAGGAAAGCTTAACACAGTTTCATCGGGATCGCAAGAGAATGAGCCGAAGACTTTTTCGCACAATTCATCAGTCTTCCCTACGCGACAATCCTCCTTCGGTTCCCAGTGAGACTACATCATGAATTCCTTCCAACCAATTTTTCTTTCGAAATGGAAAGCTATGTCACAATACAGCGAAATCACTGTCTGGCTGTCTGAAATCTGGCTACCTAAGGACCTTCAATTCTCGTCCCCTATTACGCCATATTCCAGGATTTAGATCGGATGATGTCCATGCAAGTGCCTGGGAATCTTCCTCTTCTTAGGCTTCATACCCATGGCTCGATTATCCTTGTCCTCATCTCCACTTACATTATGTGTCATTCTTTGGAATCATCTGTACGGCCTAAATCATAACTGCTGATGTGAAAATGCACCGCTTTTATTTTTTTCCTTGAATCGCGAAAATCACACTCTTCTAGTCCTTCAGGTGGACACTCCCATCTAGTTCTATGGTATTAAGATGTTCATGTGTGTTGGCTGATATCCCCTGTAGTCAAGCATGTCACCAGTCACCTCACATTAAGGCACACATAAAAAGCACACGCATACACAACGGTACCCAATATCTGGCCAATCTATACCTTTAGCCCTTAAGTTCCTATCCCACATTCCACAGATAGACACCCTCTGGATAAATTTTTGGCCGATTCCAGATTTGACTCCTCTCACCGCAATTGCCTTTTCTTAACTTCCCTTTGTTCTTCAAAAGCCTCTCCTTGGTGATGTCTCTTCTTGTTTTTAAACAGTTGTCCTGGGTCCAAACGTCTTCGCTGCCCAGACAGTACGCGAAATTACCCCTGACTCTTCTCTGTTCCAATCTCGTGTTCATCAGGTTTCTTTGAAAGAGTATGTCCATAGCATCTCTGATCTTCCGTTTCCTGGTGTTCTCAACCGCATGAGGCCAGTCTTTCCGTTGCAATTCAGTCATTTATGTGGCCGGTAGGGAAGATGTGTTCAACTATCTCCGATCTTTCCGTATCCTCTTTTCTGCATAGTCGCTGGTGTTCTTTAATCTTTGTGCTGATTGTCATTCCTGTCTCCTATGTTTTTGTCTACAATCCTTGCAGTTTGTGCTGTAAATTCCGGAGCACTCAATTTTGTTGACTTCTTCGTATTGGTTACGCAAGCTAGCAAAGAGGATTGACCTATCCTTCAAAGTTGCACGAATATTCCATTTCCATAGTATCGGCCGCAATTCCGAGCCAATTCTCAGAAGGGTAGACATGTCCATCGTTTTTCCTTTAATATATTTATCACTATCCATATGCTACGTTGTATTGCTTCTTTTGGATATCTGTTTCCGAGAAGCATATTAGTTAGTTTTTCCAGTTCCTCTTCTCATAATTCAGAATCAGAGAGTCGTTGGCTTCTTATGACCATACCCCAAGTATTCTAATTTTAATTCCATAAATATGGTTAGACTGAAAGTTGAGAGTAATTCCAGCATGCGATTTTTTTGGGAAAGTCTTTTCTTGAGAGCTTCTTCGAAGTGAATGACCTTCACATCCAAGAAACGTAAGTCTCCATTCTCTTCCACATCCATGGTAAATTTGACCTTTTCATCCATTTCGTTTATAAAGATTAGGAAATCCTCTAATTTTTTTTTCCATGCAACTAAAATGCGAAATATTCATCCAAATATATGCGTAATTACTGCTGACTCCTGAGGTGACATTTTGAAATTCTCCTCCACCTTGTCCATGTAGACATTAGCCCATAGACAGACCAAATATTTGCTCATAGATGCGGCCGTTGAACATGAACTGATTAATTCTTATTGCTATATTGATTAATCGGGTTAGAGACTCTATAGATTCACTCAGTCTCCAGGATGTCATCTTTTTTGAAGATCGCCAGTAGTGCTGTGAGTACTTTTTGGTGTACATGGACTGTACATCAAAGCTAACCGAAAGTTCGTTTCCTTTCAACCTTGCGCCTTTGCTTCTTTGGCAAAATTCGTATGAGTTCTTCACTGTATTCGACAATCTGTTATTCACTTTATTTAAATTTAGGCAGATAAATTTCGCCAATTTATGTGTCGGTCTATCTTTGTTGTCGCTTATCAGCCTCAATAGTTCTCCTTCTTTATGTACCTTTGGCAAATTGATGCTACTGGGGCTCTTGCATCTTTTCATATGGGTGAATTTATTGTAAATTTGT